CTAAAAAATAAAAACAAACGACGAAAATATAACGAGGTAAGTCATAGTATAATTAAGTATATGCATTTTAATTATTATTATTTTATTTAATTACAACTTAATTCTAACCAAATATGAATTTTTTATTCTCTATTTAAATGTCAAATATCAAAAAATAAAATGATATAACAAAAATGCACAGATAAATATTGCATTATTCAACTTAGGGTTTTGACTTTTAATTTGAAATCATTATCCAAATTTTTAAGTTTTAGTTGTCATTTGTGAATAGGACTCTGATCCTTAAAAATTAAGAGTTTTTAAATATTTTATTGTTCAAATATCGTTGTAAAAATATAGCGCAATGTAGCGCGAAATAGCGCAAAATAGCATAAGAAAACGTGTCATTTCAACATTTCACATAAGCTATTTGGGAAAAACGCTAAATATATAAGGCTACATCGCGTTTTTCCGAAAAAAAAAACTATATAGCGGGCTATTTAAAACAGTGATTGATAGTGATGATATAAGTACTATCTCCATAGGCCTCATTTACTTAAAATGATGGGACTGGACAGTTTAATCCCATCAACTTTTCACGTCAGTTTGTGTCCAATATTTATAAAACATGATGCATTTTAAGACAAAAACAATCATCGGGATAAAATGACCAGAAATTCTATGGTACCACATGTGGCACTATATTATGGTGCCACATGTGGTGCCATAGAATTTCTGATAAAATGACGGGATAAAAAGTAAAATATGAGGTAAAAGTATGGGACACACTGGGCAATTTATATCGCCTAAATCTGTAATTTGGTGAATTTCTAAGAGTAAAAGGGACAATTTACATGCCAATTTTTAAACAAAATGGTCATTTCTAAGGTGTGATAAAATTGTCCCCCCTCCAGATCAGACAAAATAATATGCCAAAACAAATGTGGGACCCACATGACACATCAACTTATTATTCATTCTCATCATGGTTACTAAACGTTGGATAACAGGAGTTATCCAACCATATCATATCCTAGCAGCTTCGAGGCCATAGTAAATAAGCCAAAACATTGAAAAAGTTGCAAGAAAACAGCGTGTACTATGGCAGGTCAGAAAACCCAAAAAAAATATTCAAATCAGAGCACTCCTTTATAAAAAATGTCGAGCGAACAAAATGCTGAAGAATGCAAGCAAACAACCTTGAAATGCAACAAAATGCCATGTCTGAGAATATGGGTTTTGCATCAACAAGTACAGAAATTATACATAAAAATTGTACACATGCTTTCTACATGATCTACCGAGCACAGAGAGAGTTGCTTACATTTTCTTGCACCATGTGAAGGAAAATTTAGGAATATCAAAAAAGCATGAAGTAGCTCGAGACAGGGGAATGCTGAATGCCACGTCAGAGACCAGAC